AGTAGTTTGGAGAGAAAAAAAACAAGTGAAATGCAACAAAAACAGGAAAAATACACCATAATTACGAAATGAACGCTATGATAAACAACACAGCCTCATTCCAATGCAATGTCAGAAGAAATAGTTAAAACAAAATGAAAATAAATGGAAATCTATAAAAATTCAGCGTAAACATGCAATCAGAAAGTTTGAAATGAAATCATAAGTTTGCGAAATGGTCAAATTTATTTATCAACTGGTTTACCCACATACTTGCATTTTTTTTTTTCAAGTGTTTATGGCCACATGGCTAGGGCTGTCGCTACGACAGAGCAGGTCTGGGTTTTATTTTGCCCCCCCCCCCCCCCAAAAAAAAATCTGCTGTACTTGGGATTCGAATCCTCGTCTCACGCACGGAAACCCTGTGTACTAACCATTCGACCAGCCAACCACTGCTTCTGCAGAATGAAAAGAGAACAAAACTACCCAAGATCTGTGTCCTGATTCTAACACAACTCAAAACCGCAGGCAATTGTTTTCTCATAAACAGATATCCCAGATATTGTTTGTTTTGTTTGTTTGTTTTAGTATCCAGAAGCCATGATTTTTTTACCCTTAGGCTTGGTATTATGGATATCGCAACCTTTCGGCCTTGATTTCATTTTAAATACCGTAAATCTGGGAGAAATGTGGCTTTTCTGCCCACCCCCGGGAGTGAACCAGGACCACAAGGAGTTCGTCACCCGCTCAACGCGCAATCCGGTTTAGCCAACTACGCTAGAGAGACGGGCATATCCCAGATATAAACTTCAAGTATTATTGAAACGGCACAATAATAGAAATCGTACGTGTCTAACACAGTAAATGTCGCAATCATTGTCTGAGCAGACATAATTTCCCCCACCCCCTCCCTTTCTCTTCCCCATTTCAAATCCACCGACTACTCTTTAACTCATCGAAAGTTGTTTGAAAAGAAAAAAATCGTGTCTAAAATGGCTAGCGTTGCAATCAACGATAAAGAGATAGTCTGGTTTGCTGTACGCGTGGATGTTAAAAATAGAGTGTCCTGTGTCTACTGCGCATGCACTGTGAAAATCGATCGCACATGCGCATTTGGATTGGATTGGCTTTTTACCCCACCAGGACATCACACAAGCGATAATCACCCGATGACACAAAGTGCCACCATGCGGATGAAGATCACCGTGGAGAGGTCCCAGAAACCGCGTTCAGACATTTGGCCATAATGATGACCTGCCTATATTGCGGCCCCTGGCAAAAGCCAGAGTGGGGCTTCAAATAACAAAAAATAACTTCCTAAGAAAGACGTAAAGTATCACTACATACTAACGTGGCTATAATTAAATGTCACTTAAAATGGAAATATTAGTTTTGAAGATTTTTGCAACAAATGTGGTCAACTATCTCTAACAATGACATGTAGAATTTCAAACCATGATGGGTAAACGTCCGGTATCAAAACAAACAAATCCTGAAAATTTCAGCTAAATCGGTTCAGTAGTTTATGAGTCTATAGCTCTTAAACAAACACACAAACATTGATTTATAAATATATTATAGATGTGTCTTTCAGATAAATAATTGCATTATTCACACTATAGTACTACTACTACTCATTTTGGAGTCAACATATCTGTACTATGTTAGAATACAACAACGTAAGTCACGTATACTAAGCTAATCACACATCAATAGTAGTATTACTAGTATGTATACTATCATACCAACATAAGGGTAGTATACAAATTAAAGATTTTTGAGATATTATTAAAAAAAATGATGTCACAGAAAATGTCATCACAAAATTACATACACACGACGTACTTGTTGAAGGTTTTAAGGTTTTAATAAAACGTCATTTAATCAGAAATTAAAAGTCAGATTTTATCGCCAATGTAAACAGACCAAGCGAGAAGTAAGTTCAGGTTCGACACTAAAACAGTAACAACACAAGTGTAGAGAATGTAACAAGTTTAGTTTTTTTTTTTTTTTTGCACGATTGTCGCAGTTTGTAGGATTAATACCTTAACAATTATAATTATACAGGTACAAATTCTAGAAACCTCGATCGACCGTATAACACAGTTATAATGTAAAAGTTTACATACAGCAGACCGCGACACAATGAACAGCGTCAGACAGCAGGTTTGTGTTTTCCGTTCACTTCTGCTAGGCAAAAGTAGGCCTACTTCCGGTGACCGCCCACTTCCATGTTCTGGTAATCTGGTAATCTGGTAATCCTAGTTTCAGCATCATAGCAAACGGGTCACCCCATTGTTGCCCCGCTCCTGTGCCAACGAAAAACACTCGTAGCTCACAGTGTCACACCATGCATTCAACTCAGAACTTCCATGTTCTATATGTATACATGTTGTCTATTGTATTTGATCCACAAGCCGGGCTTTCTAGATTCACTGTTACAGTAGCGCTGGGGACAAAAGTAAGCCTAAAAGAAAAGAGGTGACAGCCAGAAAATATACATGTAAAAAAAAATGTTAGTCGGGAATCCTTTCCTTGACATCGCAAACAAACCCCTTCATCATTTGTTAAAAATGTTGGATTTGTGTCGTTTTACTTTTTGCTAGATACATAATTATACGGTCTATAGTTTGCTTACCTCCTTTAGCAGTCCCCGCCCTAGTCCATTATCGCAGTTAACACAAAGCGGCTTTCTGCCAAATAACAAACAGTTGAATCAACCCGTTTCTTTTTTCTTGTGTTTAATCTCTTGTATAGCGTGTTGCTGAGCATGTTACACTATGGGCTCTTCACTTTCTGTTTTGATTCGTGACTTTTCTGCTCCGTATTTGCACTGCAACCAAGGGAGTGAACACCCACTAAGCGACCGTCGGCTTTCCAGCTAACGATCGGTATTTAAAGGAGAGCCCTATGTTTTGTGCGGCGTCCGTGGCTAAGGCGTTGCGAGTCCGACTCGTAAGCCAGCATACCGCGATCGAAACCTGCGTGGGCTGCGTGGATTTTTATTGTGGTATGGGATGTCGCAGATCGACCCAGCCTAAAATGGGTACCAGGATGGGCTGTCCTGGGAAAGTAAAGACAGCCGGCGTAATGCTGACCACATTACCCACAGAGTGCTGACGGTCTGTAAAAATATGGGACGCTCTGCCCATATGCCCAATGCGCCGAAATGCGTGAAAAGGGAACATTACTTTTTTACTTTACCTATGTTTTGTTCTGTTTTGGTATGTCAGAGAGTGTACAACCAGAGCGGGAGGCAGACCTTTTTGGAGTCAAGCATATTTTTTTTCTGGCGGTAACCAACGGTAAAGAGTGAGGAGGTCAGAGAAATGTCTGGATAAATGCCTGTATCCACTGCAATAAAACTAAGAAGGTAGAGATATATTGGGCACACTCTGAGTTCGAATAAAGAATTACAAAACAGGCGCTGAAAAGGGACAAATGGTCTAAGAAAAAAGGAGATCCAAGGGAAAAATTGAAAAGAACAGAGAGGCAAAACATGCTGGGCTGAATTCCATGTCATAAATCAAGAAGGTTGCATTCAATAGAGCAGAGTAGAGGAATCGAATTCGAGCACTATGTGACGTCTAATGGCACACAAAGGATGATGATGAAGCAACTGTACAGAGTGCTGGCAGCTTTCTTTTTAGGCATAAGATTTTTGTTTAACACCCCAACACCTCCCTGAGGTAAATGGAGGAAGGGAAGAAGATGATTTTTGTTCAACACTTCACCACCTCCCTGAGGTAAATGGAGGCAGGGAAGAAAAAGATATTTGTTCAACACTCCAACACCTCCCTGAGGTAAATGGAGGAAGGGAAGAAGAAGATTTTTGTTCCTTCACCATCTCCCTGAGGTAAATGGAGGAAGTGAAGAAGAAGATTTTTGTTTAACACTCCACCACCTCCCTGAGGTAAATGGAGGAAGGGAAGAAGAAGATTTTTGTTCAGGATTGCTGTAATAGGCACTCTGTGTGACTGCAGACACCCTTTAAGACACTTTGTGGTGAGTACCGGCACCTTTTTTTCTAGAATAAAAAACCCTGACTGGGGCCAGCCTTGATTTGTGAAGATGGCATTGGATTCAGTGCTGACATTAGGAGGGACTCAAGTCACTGTGATATCAAGAAATTAATTCATTAAACACATAATATGGCTAGGAAGCTCTACGTTGGTGGAAATCAATCATCCAGCCAAACGTTTTAACTGAAGTCTTTATCAATTACTAAAACAGAAAGGAATAATCATAAGCAGCATGTGGGAGTTTACACCTTTTATGGTTTTTGATTAAGATAGAAATGTACTATGGATATATAGATAATCTTACTGACATTGTGTCATTACAATCACCGTACCAAATTGGGACAAAATTTTTCATATTTTAAAGCCCCACTTTGACTCTTGTCTGGGACTCTAATATAACCCACCCTATGGGTTAAATGTGGCTATATGATATATATATATATTTATATACACACACACAGAAGGGGGGGGGGGGGCTTTGAGTTTCTTAGTCATATTTTGTGTTTAGTTAATTCACCTCTATATTGAATATGCCTATGGTTTGATCAATACCTTTATGTTGTTGGGATAAATTATATTCTGTTTGCACGGGTAAGAGTACTCTATTCACTGCAGATATTATTTTTAAAGTCACTGGCTTTGTACTCTGTTGATATTATTATTAGATTTAAATTCACACATGTGATAAGAGCAGTCAGTGTTATAAGGTCACAAGGTCACTCATCAGAAATAAGAAATAGGTTTAAGAAAAGCTTTATTTTGCAAAGCCTAGGCAACACAGTAAAGACAAAGAAAATATACGCAGGAAGCTTATATAGTTGGGCATCAAATAATTATAGTTTTCTCATCTACTAAGATCAGTTACATTGTTTATGGTTTTCGGTAAATTATTACATTGTTTTTTGTTACCAAAGTAAACTGTACAGATACAATATTCCAGATCAGGGAGGTGATACAGACAAGGGTATAGAGCAGTCAGTGAAAGCCAAGCAAGACACAATGCAAAAAGAAGAAACTTTGTATGTACCAGACATTCCCCATAGCCAGACAAAGAGGGATTTTGGTTCCTTTCATGCTTCTAATGTGCAAGAGCTTTTATCACTACCAGAGGTAACAATCTCATTCCTTCTGTAAGAAGAAATTCATCTTACATTCTTCTTCTAACCCACCCACATTGGGCTTCATATAATTTTGTAACTGTTTTATGATGCCCCATTATAACTGTGTTGTATAGCTATACAGTTGAACAGGGTTTTTGGGATTGTACCTGTTTGGTTCTCTTCCTTGGGGCTTTTGAACTGAAATGCTATAGAAAGATTCTCAAAATATCTTGGACAAAGAAGAGAAGAATAACTGACATCTTGAAAGATCTGAACATCTGGGAAGAATGGCTAATAAACAGCATCCTGTCTCGGAAGCTGAAATATCAAGCGGCACGGCGGATTGGAAAAAATAAAAGCAGAAGGCATGGTACTAGGAAGGAGATGCAGGGGCCGACCAACACGAAGATGGGCACAGGATATAAGTGACTCCTTCAGTATGAAAGTACATAATGCGGGAGAGCTGGCTAGAGACCAAGTTTCTTTCAGGCAGACTGTGATGAGAGTGACATTCTACAAAGGACCTGCTAAATGATGATGACATATTTGCATTATGCCAGGTTTCACACTGGCTAAGACCTGAGGTAGGGGTGAAAGAGATACCTAGAGGAAACTGCCAGAGGAAACAAAGAACAGTTTAAAAAATTAATAAAGTGTAACATTAGGAAAGAGAAAAATGTTTTTCTTGAGGTGAGTTATGAGAAAAGTGAAGAACATTATGACAGTTAAACAGATCAGAGGCAGACTAACAGATATAATGCTAGATAGTGTGAGACAATGGCATGGAGAGAGGAAAAACATTGATGATAGAACTGATTCAGAACACATGGATTCATATATAATTAGAGACATGATTACCTACTCCATCCGACAAGGTACATGATATTTTTAAGCATGACATTCCTCACACTTATTTTTGTTTCTCTATTTCAGCATGAGTATATTCCTCCACCTTGTCCATTCACTCTGCCATCTTTCCAGGAATTTCTAAGTGCTGATTCAAAATTGCCTGTATTTGGGAAGAAAGCAAAGAAAGAATTTTTCTTGCTGGAGGTAACATTTTTAAATTTATAATATTTGTTATATTAGTTGACTTATTGTGATGTTTTTAAGTTAGAAAATATAAAAGTATTCTTCCTTGTGTGTTATATTAAAAAGAAAGATGCTGGTATTGTCTACCAGCAGAAAAAAACCATGACAAACACACAGCACTTAATGTCACACCGGATGGCACAACAGAAAATGATAAGAGGAGTAGCTGCAGCAGGGTCAGTAACACACAAGGAAGAATACATTTATGTTTTCTAACATTAAAAACATCACAATAAGTCTGCTGTTTGTATGAAATACAGTGTTTACAACTGTGAAGCCCAACAAACGTTATGAACAACAGGCAGTCGGGGGTCGCGTTAGCTCAGTCGATAGGAAACTCGCTTTCAAATCCAGCTGCGACTCGCTGCAGCCCACAGCCGGTGTTCAAAACCAGGCGGTTCACCCAGCCTCTAGGAAATGAGTACCAGAGTTAACACTCTGGGGTAAATGGAAGAACGTCGCTGTAGCTATGGAGTTACGTGCAGACAGTGACACAGTCAGACAGTTTCTTATCAGCTGTCCGTACTGGTGGCAGAGCACTTATGATTTATAACCGTGTGCAATGACGCTGGTTCACATATCCCGACTTTACCTTTACAACAGACATCAAATTTTTTGGGAAAATCTCAGTAGGGTCTCAAGAGAACGGTGAAGTGAGGTGTGACCGGGGGATCTGGGCAATGCTTAACACCGAGGGGAGGGGCAAGATGGATATACAGACAGACTGTTATGCATGTCTTTGTACAGAGTGCTATGATTTTGACTCTTAACCCAACTCGTGTTCAACATTTCAAAGGCAAAACGACATGCCATTTGTTACTGGGTCTATTTGGACAGCAAATAATAGTAATACCTGGATGGTCTTGCATGGAAAGATATCAGCACATGAGTTGATAAATAATGCCGGATAATAGAAGTTTTATGAGTTGCATAAACCTCTCTAGCTGGTAATGCACTTGATGCTGGTGATGTTATAAGAGAGTGGCCTTTTTCAGGATGAAAGACAGTGTCCTTTGTCATGATGAGAGACAGTGGCCTTAGTCAGGATGAGAGACAGTGGCCTTTCTCAGGATGAGAGACAATGGCCTTTGTCACGATGAGAGACAATGGCCTTAGTCAGGATGAGAGACATCAGAGTCAAAAAGGGAGTTTGGTGAGAATTGAAAGCCATGTAAAACACACAAGGAGACTGAGGAATGGCAATAAATGGAACACAAAGCATTTATAGACATTCTGAGGAGAAGGTCTAGCTTGCATAGCATGCATCGATAATAGTCCATTTTGATAATTTGATTATGTAAAGTTAAGAGCATACACGTTTTCTTCCATTGCATTCAATATTCCTTGTGAAGAAAATTAAATTTAGCACAGACCTACCCACATTTGATTACAGGTTACGTCTTAACTGCTGGGTGTCTTAAAATAACTGTTATACAGTTGAATACAATTTCAGAATGCAATCCTTGAGTAGAGGAATAGAGGAATAGTGTCTTTCAGTCAGTAATAAATTACTTAGCATTTACTAAGGATAGAAGATACTGAGAATAATTGAGTATCCTAACAATATCAGCATACACAGTCTGTTCCCCAACAGTCATGCAAATCAAACTACAGTGACCTCAGTTAGAATTTGAACTACTTTTATCTATATATGAGGCAGGACCAAGAAAGAAACTGCTTTGAATTGAAGCAATGACAAGTGTTAGACAAGTGTGCTAACTAATATGCAACGACAGCTTCTAAACATAATCACACTGTATCACTTTCAGTGCTGACACTTATTCCTGCCATTAAAAAAGACTTCTGCACTTTTAAAATAGCACAGTTAGTAGTTTTAGATGCCATGTTTGCTCACCAGATAACTAACTCCATTCTGTGCATAAGTACTCAGTTTTCCTCACTAGAAATAAAAAGAGAATAACTATATATATATATTTTATTTTATTTTTTTTAAGGACAGCTGCTGTTTTCTCAACCATGGTGCTTTTGGTGGTGTCTTGAAGCAAGCACTTGAAACAGTACATGTAAGTTTTACAATGTATTGTTTTTTTATGTACAAAAGTGAAATGATAAATTTATTTGTTAGCACATTTTATTTACTGGCGTGTCCTTACAGCTGGAAATTACTGTCACAGATCCAGGTAACTTATCTCTAGTTGGTCTGGAAGGCAAGGGATAAACATTCATCACAAAGCCTTTATGACCTGAAGCAGATGAGAGGCACAGAATTATAATGGCTTTCTAAGGATAGCATTATCTTCTAGGATCTTGCATTGTGAATTCCTTGGACAGCTGAAATAGATTCATTAGATGTTCCAAGACAGAAAGGACCAAGATCTGTGGAGAGAATTGAAACCTTTGCCATCTGCCAATGCACATGATGATGGTGACATTTTTTTATTTCAGTTAAAAATTTTAGCTTCTTAAATTTTATTGATGCTGGTTGAGTATGGACTTCTTCTTGATCTTACTTCTGAACACTTTCCTGGTTATAGATTTTAGGTTAAGCAGAGTTTTGTGAACAAGGGCTTTAGTTTTATTATGTACATATGTACATAGAAGCAGTGGGTAACTTTTCAAATTGTTTTTTTTTTTTGGCCAGTGTAAACGTTTGTAGTGCTATAGAAGACACCTTCTTTCCTGTACTGGTCTACGTGACACTCTCGGATAAGGTGAAGTACCAGTTTAGCTACCCTATAGTGGCGATGTGAAACCATAGCATGTGGTGGGTTGAGTTTGAGAGCAGCCTAGTCATAGTAGGTCATAGTCTGAAGCTCCTCAACACTGGGCTGAGGATTACACTATAGTGACAATGGCTACAATTATTCTACCGGAAAAGTAATTGCCAAGAAAGAAAGCAGTGGCAAATTACTTTCTTTAAGATACCAAGATAAACCTGAACCATGATTCTAGTGATTGTGTAAGATGGTGAACCATTACTGTTATGGTAATGACACAACAACAGTTCACATTTTTATGTGAACATTTTCTTACATTCATTTTTTTTTTTCTGCTATTCCTTCTTCTTCTTTCTTTGCTCATGAGCTGTAAACTCGGCAGAAAGTTCGTCCATTTGGACTGGCTTTGTGCCAGGGACTAAGTTTTGGGTGTACATCCGTTTTACTGGCTTAATTATGTGCAGTTGTTTGTTTCTTTGCAGCTCGGGCAGATGCGCTCCAATTTTAAAGGAATTTCCCAGTTAGTCAACTCCTAGGTCATGCTTGTTGGAGAGGCAGTGGATATGTTCTTTTTTTTTCCACAATGGTTCCCGGTAACCCACACGAGGAGCTGTCGCTGTTAGCAGCCTTTTATTTTTTTGTAAACTGTCGTGTCATTCACTATTCTGATATGGATCTCTTTATTTATTGTATTCTGCTCAACATCTCATTTTGTTGTTTGGTGTCACTGACAATAAATATTTCTTTTTTTGTGTCTTCCATCATAACAGCATGCAGTTATTTTCTGCTTTCCAGAAATGGCAAGAGTACACAGAACGGCAACCACTGAGATTTTATGACAGACTTCTGCTTCCCTTGCTTGTCCATGTGTGCAGGCGGTTGGCTTCTTTTGTTGGTAACACTCTTTTAAACTCAGTACTTGTCACTTATTAACTCTTTCTGTCTTAAGCAAGGTTCCATATGTGTCTGTTTTATATGCATTTTGTCCTTTTCAACATTGTGGATTGGCAGGCTGGAGTGTTAGATTTAGTAAGCTATTTGCTTCTAAATATGGTTGTTGTTTTTTTAACATTTTCTCCTATATGTGGACTGAAAGTATATAGTTTCATTACCCAACTACTGAGTGGAGTGCATGGTGCAACACTGTGAACTATGAATTTTATTTGGAATGCTTTTTGACTGTGCCAAATATGGTTTCTGTTCTGAACCGTTCACTCTGAAAATGGCAAGTGGCCTGTCACCACATATTGCATACATAACTAACAATCTGTTGTAAGGACCGCTTCTATCAATGTAGAACTCTAATTCTAGTGGTGGACTGTTAGAGCGGGTCCCTCTGCTGACTGCCTTACACATATAATATGTGTGTTTGCTACAGGCTTTGCTAGACTGCAGTTTGTCTCAACTGTCTCACTAGGTACAGTGATAGCCTTTCTGTGTGGCTTTCAATGGCACAGAATTGAAGCAACTCTCAGGTGACCCACTTGCTGTAAAATTTGATCTGCAAGTAACTTATTATTATGTATGTGAACTATTCAACACGGGTCAGAAAGGGTTTGGTGGGGACAATAATGTCAAACTGGCAAGTGTCTGGTCCTAACCCAGTTTTATGTAGGATGATTACCATTGTAAGGTAATCAGGAATATTACACTCTCCCACTATCTTGCAGATCAGGTGCATAGCTTTCTTTGAATAACACACAAATCTAGAAGACCCTCTACACATGCTGCTGGTACTAATGATGTTTTTTGCCAATGGGAAATCATCCAGTTTTGACTACTACCTAACCAGACACACACATTTTTTTTTAAAGCAATTAAAACAGCTTTCTACTTTGTACACAACTTCAGAGGCATTTCTTGTCATCTGGTATGTCTTTTTCATTTTTATTGCCATAATTTTACTTAAAATGTCATTATTTGTCAAGTATTTTATTAAATAACTTATGTGAATTTAATTTTATTGATTATTTTATTAAATGCCTTATGTGAAAGTCCATGTAAATCTACAGGTTGTGATCCGAGAGACCTGGTTTTAGTGAACAATGTGACATTTGGCATGAACTCAGTTCTGAACAGTTTCCCTTTCAGTCATGGTGATGTTATCCTAACTTTCAACATTACCTACGGTAAGTGTATTTATTGACCATGCTAGAATGAATGTTTGTATTCTGTATGTGTATTTATATGCTTTTTTTTTTTTTTAGGTTGTTTTGTTTGAAAATTGTTGCCTTTTTGGTTGACTGAGAATCCTCTAAGAATCGGCAATTTAACTAAATCTGATACATTGACAGCTAATCACTGTTTTGAAAATGAATGCAGAAGTAGAAAATATCAAGGTGAGATTGGTCTAGACACTTTTCCTCTGACACACTACCAGAGTGATCCCAATGATAACATTATTTGAGAAAAAATTTTTTAAATATTTTTCAAGTCAAGAGTGAATGAATAAATTAATGAAGAATTGACATGATTGCAGTCAGGACATTCCCACATCTACTCCATCCCCTTCTTCATTAGCTAACGTAGAGTCAGTATGCTAATAGTGCCAGTTGCAACTTGATTCAAAGCCATAAAACCAAGGTAGTTTGTGCAAGACACAGAACCACATTTGCTGACACTCATATTGAGATGTAAACATGTCATCATTCAGAACAGAATATATAGACTGGCTGGTGATAGGTCCACTTATGTAGGGGTGTTGCTCCAGTGGTTTCTTAGTTCTCTCTCAGGACGGCATTTTTTTCTGAACATAATTAATTTTGAGTGCTGTTATGTCAACTCTTGACTCAGTTTAACGCAGCTCTGGGCTGAATTTTTTTTTCAACAACTGCTACATGACAAAGCTAAAACCTTCCGGAAGAAACAATATTGGCTGTTTTTTGGCACATAGAATATCAAATTGAAGAGAAATTAATAGAGTACATCTAAACTATTTGAGGACCAGTATTACAGCAATAAAAATATTAAAATGACACCACATTCAAGGATGTTAGATATAATGAAGATTTTTTTTACAAACAAAGTGTTGTACTTACCTTTTTTTTTTAATTTATTCGGAATACTGCCATCTGTTTCTAAAAATGCAGGCTTCACATACCTTTTCTATTCAATTATGCATCAGCTAATCTTTATTTGCGTCAATTGATCCAAATACTTTTGATGTTATGACTATTTATGTGTGACTTTAAAAATATCAGAACTGAAAATAAAATATATTTAATGACATTTAATTTAAGCCATGCTTTAAAAACTAAATTACTTCATTTTGCTAATTCTAGTTTTTCAAAACATGTGCATACAAATTCATTTTCCAAGCAAACGAAACAGCCAGGTCATTGTTTAAATATTTAATTTTCTCTGTTCTAGGCGCCACAAAAAAACTTGTTCAACATGTCTGCTCAAAAACAGGAGCCATCAACAGGGAAGCGGTGATACAGTTTCCTGTCTCTGGAGAACATCAGGTAGTTTCAGAAAATAAAAGCAGACTTTGGTAAAGCGTTGTGAGCTGTGACGAAAAAATATGTGCTGTTTTTGGATAAGTTAACAGTTACCTAGAAAAAAAAATTATGCCTTTACCAATCAGTGCTTGTAATTTACTGACAAACAAAAGGCTTCTCAGCACATTTTGTACTCACATAACAAGAATTAATTCAACTTCAGTAACTGAGTAATCCACTCAGATCATAGATTTAACCTTTCAGTTTCCAATATTCACAGGGTGTGTACTGTAAATTTCAATGTTAATCAGTCTTATTTTCATTTTAGTATAATCATGTCTGTGGTCTCAGTCCTGGCACAATGAATTCTTTATTTTGTTGTCATGATTTAATCTTCTTTCATGTTTTTTCCCACCATGCTTTACTCTGATGTCATGCAATTGTGTTAGTGTCAGAGATTCCTCATTGTCCACCAACCTTGTCTTACAGAGCTGGTGATATTTGCTCTGTCCATTCTCTGTGCCGATATCCCTTTTTTTTTCTTCTGTGTGCTGTTTAATCTCTTCATTGCTTTTCAGTTTTGTCTGAACAGTCTCTATTTGTGTTAACTATGGATCTATTGTATTCAGATGTGTGATATTTTCAGTCTTTTCAACACTTAATTAATTTTTGATTGGCATGCATTCATCTGTGGACATTATTTTAGCACTAGACTTGAAAGTTAATAAATATCGCCAATATTATTTTTGTAGCATTAGACTTGAAAATTACCAAGCATTGTGAACAATTATTGAATTAGTAAACTTGAAAATTAACAAGCATAATTTATATTTTATCAGATTCTTGATCTGCTGGAAGCTGAACTTGCCAGTGAAGATGTCCGACTAGTAATTATTGATCACATACCTAGCAATGCACCTATCCTTATGCCAGTTGCCAAAATGGTTGAGATTTGTCATAAATTGTAAATACTGTTTTGTCTGTGCATTTTCTTATCTTCTCTTTATTATTTATTTTTAATTTAAAGTAAAGAAATTATACAATTAATACTGAAGTCAGTCAGAATGTATTAACAAACAATAAAATAAATAGTTTGACAGCTGACAAGACTGCCCTGGTACGTTACCACACGGAGCTACAGTGAAAAATATAACAAACAGACCAAGAGGAAAACCATATAGTGATGGGGAGTCAGGACCAAGATCAAACTTTGAGGAATAACACCAATTTACAAAGCACATTGGAAAAAGCAGAAGATATGTACATGAGCCTCTAAAGTTACTCTAAGGTAAATGGAGGAAGAGAAGAAGAAGTATTTTTGTGTTGTTCAACATGTTGATTAGTTCCATTATTTCATGGATAAGCAGTATTTTTATTTCAGTCTAGTGAAAGCACAACCAGGTTTTCTTGTGATATACTGCTAAAATAAAAAGTTAATAAAGGTTATTTGTTGGGCAGGACTGAACAAGTTACTTTCCTCAGATTTGGGACATTACACAGTAGACTTATTGAAGTTCAACATAGTCTCTAAAGCAATGTGTGTATGTGAGCAAGCAACTAATTTCCAACAGAAATCCCTGGAGATCATCACTGGAGCTACATAGTTCATGCTTTGTGCAGTACATTCAGTAGGTGCTAAGTCACTCTGCAGAGAGAAAGTATGCCATATGAGATCAAATCCAGTGCAATGGAGTTGATCCTCTTAGATTTAAAAGCTTACCGTTTTAATAATGGGAAAATAACGGGCTAATTATAATATAGCAATGTCTTATTCTTCTCTTCTTCCCATTAAGAAGTTGTAAACTTGGGCAGAAAGTTAAAGTTGTTCATCCACTTCTGGGCTTTGGTCTTGTTCCAGAGCTTGAGTTTTGTTTGTACATTCAGTATGTAGGTCTGGCTAACTTATATGCAAACTGTTTGTGCCTTGCCTCTCAGGCAGATGTACTCACTATAGTGACGATGGCTACAGTCATCCTACCGGAAAAGTAACTGCCAAGAAAGAAAGCAATGGCAAATTACTTTCTTTAAGATACCAAGATGAACTTGAACTGTGGTTCTAGTGATTGTGTAAGACGGTGAACCATTACTGCACAGGGTAATGACAGATAATAACGATACATCCCTTATTAGTTACTTTTCTGTTAGTTACTTTTCAGGACATGTTTGTGGGGGAGGGGACTTGATTCAAAGTTATTGCATATCACCTAGCAAATGTTGATTTCTCTATTTAAAAAACCAAATTCGTTTGGCATCATTACGGGTTTTTCTAACTTAATTATAATAATGTGATGATGGCATACGAGCTGTACTCTGATAGTCTGATAACATCATGCTCACAATATTCTGCAGAAATGTACGAGTCTTAATTGATGGTGCTCATGCCCTAGGTGCCCTGCCCTTGGACCTGTCCGTGTATGCCCCAGACTACTACGTGTCCAATGCTCACAAGTGGTTGTGCTGTCCAAAGGGTGTGGCATTCCTGTATGTGAAGCGAGACCTACAGGAGGAAGTGATACCTGCTGTTGTATCCCACGGCCTTGGGTCAGGGTTTAATTCTGAGTTTATCTGGGCAGGTAAGCATTCTGTGTTTCTGTTTCCAGCCATGTTTTGGACGTGAGCTGATTAGTTTGGTTAGTTAGTTTATCTGGGCAGGTAGGCATTCTGTGTTTCTGTTTCCAGCCATGTTTTGGACCTGCGTTCATTAGTTTGGTTAGTTAGTTTATCTGGGCAGGTAGGCATTCTGTATTTCTGTTTCCAGCCATGTTTTGGACCTGCGTTCATTAGTTTGGTTAGTTAGTTTATCTGGGCAGGTAGGCATTCTGTATTTCTGTTTCCAGCCATGTTTTGGACCTGCGTTCATTAGTTTGGTTAGTTAGTTTATCTGGGCAGGTAGGCATTCTGTATTTCTGTTTCCAGCCATGTTTTGGACCTGCGTTTATTAGTTTGGTTAGTTAGTTTATCTGGGCAGGTAGGCATTCTGTATTTCTGTTTCCAGCCATGTTTTGGACCTGCGTTCATTAGTTTGGTTAGTTAGTTTATCTGGGCAGGTAGGCATTCTGTATTTCTGTTTCCAGCCATGTTTTGGACCTGCGTTCATTAGTTTGGTTAGTTAGTTTATCTGGGCAGGTAGGCATTCTGTATTTCTGTTTCCAGCCATGTTTTGGACCTGCGTTCATTAGTTTGGTTAGTTAGTTTATCTGGTCAGGTAGGCATTCTGTATTTCTGTTTCCAGCCATGTTTTGGACCTGCGTTCATTAGTTTGGTTAGTTAGTTTATCTGGGCAGGTAGGCATTCTGTATTTCTGTTTCCAGCCATGTTTTGGACCTGCGTTCATTAGTTTGGTTAGTTAGTTTATCTGGGCAGGTAGGCATTCTGTATTTCTGTTTCCAGCCATGTTTTGGACCTGCGTTCATTAGTTTGGTTAGTTAGTTTATCTGGTCAGGTAGGCATTCTGTATTTCTGTTTCCAGCCATGTTTTGGACCTGCGTTCATTAGTTTGGTTAGTTAGTTTATCTGGTCAGGTAGGCATTCTGTATTTTCTGTTTCCAGCCATGTTTTGGACCTGCGTTCATTAGTTTGGTTAGTTAGTTTTATCTGGGCAGGTAGGCATTCTGTATTTCTCTGTTTCCAGCCATGTTTTGGACCTGCGTTCATTAGTTTGGTTAGTTAGTTTATCTGGTCAGGTAGGCATTCTGTATTTCTGTTTCCAGCCATGTTTTGGACCTGCGTTCATTAGTTTGGTTAGTTAGTTTATCTGGTCAGGTAGGCATTCTGTATTTCTGTTTCCAGCCATGTTTTGGACCTGCGTTCATTAGTTTGGTTAGTTAGTTTATCTGGGCAGGTAGGCATTCTGTGTTTCTATTTTCAGCCATGTTTTGGACCTGCGTTCATTAGTTTGGTTAGTTAGTTTATCTGGTCAGGTAGGCATTCTGTATTTCTATTTTCAGCCATGTTTTGGACCTGCGTTCATTAGTTTGGTTAGTTAGTTTATCTGGGCAGGTAGGCATTCTGTATTTCTGTTTCCAGCCATGTTTTGGACCTGCGTTCATTAGTTTGGTTAGTTAGTTTATCTGGGCAGGTAGGCATTCTGTATTTCTGTTTCCAGCCATGTTTTGGACCTGCGTTCATTAGTTTGGTTAGTTAGTTTATCTGGTCAGGTAGGCATTCTGTATTTCTGTTTCCAGCCATGTTTTGGACCTGCGTTCATTAGTTTGGTTAGTTAGTTTATCTGGTCAGGTAGGCATTCTGTATTTCTGTTTCCAGCCATGTTTTGGACCTGCGTTCATTAGTTTGGTTAGTGAGTTTATCTGGGCAGGTAGGCATTCTGTATTTCTGTTTCCAGCCATGTTTTGGACCTGCGTTCATTAGTTTGGTTAGTTAGTTTATCTGGGCAGGTAGGCATTCTGTATTTCTGTTTCCAGCCATGTTTTGGACCTGCGTTCATTAGTTTGGTTAGTTAGTTTATCTGGGCAGGTAGGCATTCTGTATTTCTGTTTCCAGCCATGTTTTGGACCTGCGTTCATTAGTTTGGTTAGTGAGTTTATCTGGTCAGGTAGGCATTCTGTATTTCTGTTTCCAGCCATGTTTTGGACTTACACTGATTAGTTTGGTTAGTTAGCTGGTTGGTGAATCTTTGGAAGAATCTTTTCCACTTTTGTCTTATTCATTGGCATTGAGGTCATAGCCCTGAAAAAAACTTTCTAGAGTGAGGTTGATGTATAGATTTTCTTCTTGGCCCTGAACCAAAGTATTGTCTCCAAAAACACTGTGATGCTTAAAAACTGAAATATTTTGGTCATATGATGAATTAAAAAGAATAACTGCAGTAAGCATTTTACCAGAAAAGAAGGGCTGAGGCTTGATCAGTTTTTTAAAAATACGTAACTAAAACAGTCTTTAGCCAAAAAAAAAAATAAAAAAAACAGAACTGAACTTTAAAACTTGTATTTTATTTTTGTAAACCTATTTCACCCACTCAGTACGATAACCTTTTTTATTCTATTTTCAGGTCTTCATGATTACAGCCCCATGCTGTCTCTTCATACAGTACTTGATTTCTGGTTGGCTTTAGGACCTGACCGTATCAGAAACTACATGAGGGAGACGGCAAGAGAAGCAGGTGAAACAATGACCAGAAGAGATGTTTCATTTTGTTTGTCCTTTTAATGAAATATCAAATACCCATGAAAGCATTGTTACCAGCTTAGGTCTAACCCCAGTAGTCCTAATGTGCTATGCTGAATCTTGGCTGGGTTGCATTTTAATATGCCTGCACACAAAAGTTCTTGCAAATCTTGCCTGTTTCTGAGCTTGGAGAGGGGATGGAAGGCGTGCAACACAGCCCCTATGATATTTTGGAAGGGCATTAGGGAAAAGGTCTCTACACAGTTTTCATTATGTGAAATTTAAAAGCAGGGCCCTTATGTAAAAAGAACCAGTCAAAATAAATATTGCCACATTGTGCAGATGCAAGCTTCATACATCAAGGGCAAGAGACAGGGCTTGTTGGAGATCCATTGCAGCCAACCTTCATTGTGGAGACGGCACCTGATTGATTGAAGCTTCTTGCACATAGTCTGCATTGGTCCATAGTTAGTGTTTGAAGGCCAGAGGATCAACTCCATTCACTGAGTTATATACCATATGGTCAGCAAAGAATGGTTGATCAACCCCTGAGAGCATCACACATAGCATATAACTAGCAGTGATCCACAGAGATCTCTAAAACACTTGCAGTTACCAACCAGGTGAGAATAATGTTTGCAAAGGGTAAAACTTGGGGATTGGATTAGATTGTAGGTGATTACAGCAATGGTAGGGCAAACCACACCAGCAGGAGATGTAATGTGTACTGTCCATCTGATCACCTGTGGGATGCCTCATGACCAGGGGTAGATTTCCCCCATAAGATCCCCAATCAGGGTCATGTGAAGTCATGGCAGTCAGGTGATGGATAAAAGGGGTGAGCAGCTGAAATGTTTTTAGTACTGGTCACCACATTAACTGTACTAGGCAGAGGATGCTTCTGCAGGGTGAGTGCCTGGAGTACCTTGTGATAGTGGTACATTTGGAGCAGACAAGAAGCGAATGGAGACATAGAGAATATAATGAACATTTTGACATCATGGCATGGAAGATCATCTGTGCCAGAACTGATTTAAAGTAGTTGAGACAGAAGGTTGTGGATAGACATGACTACCAGTGCCACACAGCATGGATTATTAAAAGAAGAAGATTCCAGCAGTACCGTCAATGATTTGTTTCACTCAAAGGGAAGAGCTCATTGCCCTTCAACACATGTCTTAACTCTTTGAGTCCCAGGGGGTTTAGCATCACAGGCCCAAGGGGTAATCAAAAGAGACGTAAAATCGGCACATCATGCGTTCATTGGGCCTCTAGATAGCAATCTGTGAACGTATGATGCGTTCCTTGGGACTCAAAGAGTTAAGACTCAAAGAGTTAAAGAAACTAATTTATTTGTTTCAGGTCTTCTACTAGCAGCTTCATGGCAGAGTCAGCTTGCTGCTCCTGAACATATGTTTGGTGATTATGATTGATTTCTATTGTTGTTTTTAGTAATGATTGCGTGAAGAAGCTACGTAATGTAGAATATTACACTTCATATAGTGTGTGTCATGTGGTGTTGGGAACCATGTCTGTCCACAACCTTCTGTCTCATGTACTGTCACTCATTTCTGATACGGATGGTCTTCCATACTTTGATGACAAACTTCTCGATATTTTATTTTTTCTTGGCCTCCTTCTGTCTCTCTTCCCCAAAAATTATCCTCTTGTCTTGAAATGCTTCAGACTTTCCCATTGCTGTTACTTATTTCATAGAAAGTTAAAATTAGTAGTTGGTTTCAAAAACATTTTATATATATATATATATATATATATATATATATATATATATATATATATATATATATATATATATATATATATATATATATATATATATATATAAAAAAACAAGCAATTGTCATCAATATGCATGTTTGTAGCCTTCATATTAATCAATTTTGAATTATTAAAATTGTTTGTTTGACATTTGTAAACCTCTTTAACTGCATTAGTGTTGCAGAATTTGTTTCCTTCCTTAGAAAATAATCAACATTGCTAAACATTTTGTGCCTTCAACTAATTAACAGTTAAATAATTTATTATCTTTTTTCCACCCAGTTTACAATATTATAGAATTAGTTTTCTTCCTTCTTCAGTTAATTGGCAGAATTAAATTATTATTTTACTGCGTATGAACATAAAATTGCATACAAAACCTATGCAACGGCCATTAAATGCTGGGGTTGGCTAGCAATTTAAGTTACATATAATGAACTTTTCTAAATGTTTCCTTATGAAAATGTATCAGTGTCTGTGGAACTAAGTACAAAATTAAGACTGATTGATATCTCTTGTTATAAATGCAGTATTCTGTTGTTACTTACTAGCCTGTTTTAATTTTCATGTAGGTTTCATTATTTATAATATTTCTGCTTTTTTTACTCTGGTTATTTTACACCTGTATTTACACTAGCAGTTTGTAGTGAAACATTATAGGTTGTGTGTATTTAAACACTCATCTTTTGTTTTTCATTTATGTCTTTAGGATCGATGGTGTTGGTAGAATTACCAGCAAGTATCCAGACCATGTTTTCAAATATAAACTATGATGTTGCCGAAATTATCCAGAACATTCTTTACAATGAGTTTGATATTGAGGTGAGTTTAGTTTTCTATTTCCCGTGTATATCGGTATCCTAAAACTGAAACAAGAGAAGAGAAATGTCTTTGGTGAATCCTAAATGTAATTAGAAGAGACAAGATCAGAAATGATGGTATGAAGAAAGAAGTTTGGATGAATTCAGCTGTAAACTACATCAAGACACGAACAGATCAAATGGTTTGGACATGTGTCATGAACTACCATCAGAAAGTGTATGACAGAGAGATCTGTCACTTTGACATAATGGAAGCAGAGCCAAAGGTCGACCCCGCAAGCAGTGGATAGGTGAAATATCTGATCACAAAAATACCAGCATCTACGTAGAACATACCAAGCTCTTACCTGATGCCTCTTCAGAATCTGATACTGATTGACAGGACAGGGTTAGAGAAGCAGAAGAAGAAGAAGAACCTGTATTATCATCATCATAATCATCCTTTTGTGCATGAAGTTTATTATCCAGCAATTCTATTCTGGGCAGTCTTTCAGTGCCATGCATGGAATCCCAGAACTTCAAGAACAGTTGATTAAAACAGAACTCCAAATAACAGTTGATTCAAAAAGAGCTTTAAGTAACAGTTGATTAAAACAGAACTTCAAGTAACAATTGATTAAAACAACTTCAAGTAAATTAAAATAGAAAAACTTCAACAATTGCTGGTGACAGAAAGAGTTGAAGTAACATCTGCTTATGACAAAATTAATTATTAGATTAGCATGCACAACAGAATGTTTTTCTAGCCATGTATTTCATTTGTCGATAGGTCCCAGTGAAGAGTATACAAGGCCATTTGTATGTGAGAATCTCAGCTCACATATACAATGAGAGAAGTGATTATGAGAAACTGGCACATGCTGTAACTGTTATCTCACAACGACCAGTGAGGATTCCATTATAGCTGTAGCTTTGATGTTATGTTATCACAAATTACATCACTGCACATTGGGCATTCCCATGCGTGCTCAGTCCTCCGATGCAGCAGCCATTCCAAAGTTCTTTTTCTAATTGTTCCCATGAGAAGCTCATTATATTGTCTCCTATCTTGGCTTAGATGATGGCATAGACGTGCTTCACCATGCTTTACTCCCATGTCATGCAATCATGTTAGTGTCAGGGATTCCTCATTATCCTCTAGCCCAGTCCATACAGCATTGACGATATCTGCTCTGTCCATGCTTCTTCCCACATGCCTTAGTGCAGTGCTTGCCAGTTGGTCCGCTCGCTCGTTGGTGTGGCTTTCTGTCTGTATGGGCATAAATACTGGACAAGGAGTGATGATATTCTGAGGTTACTAAGCGGGAAGTAGGAGGCGGTCTTTATTATACAATACTGTACAGTGTGGGTTTTCATGAACGTTTGTTGCATTCTGTAATTTTATATTGACTGGAAGGGTGAAGGTTTACTTGTGCTAAAAAAATAGTGAAAATGGCTGTTGTATCATAGCAACCAAAATATAGAAGGAGTCAGTAAAAGGAGTAGAACCATGTGCCAAAGGTGTCTGTAGGGTCTACATGAGCCTTGCTTCCCAAAATACAAGTGTTAGAACTTTTAGAACTTATTTGTGTTTCATTCATCAGAAAATGTAGCCAGATTGTTCAGTTTAGTCATGTTTGTCCCAAGAAATTAATTAAAGAATGCATGCATAAATATGCTAATTCAATAGCTAATTTGAATAAATGTGAATCATAAAGATTAGGTTAGTTCATTCAATTTCCTACACAAAAATATATAGTTTTGTGTGTGTTAATTAAATGGTTTATTTTTAATAATTCTGTGTGTGTTAACTAAGAGAATCCCCTCCTGAAGGTTTTATCTTTTTGGCACTGAAACTCTATAAAGGCTCTGTCTCCAAAGGGTTAATAGGAATAAATTATGCAAGGAACTAAAGGATTACAGAGTTAATGAACACCTTATTAAATTTTGCAAAAGTTTATGCGTGAACAGTCAATGAGCAGTTAGAACAAATACAGGAATGTCAGAAAAGTTCTGCATTAAATTTAGAGTTATGAGTTAGATTATCTTCACAGCCACCTCCATAGGCCCTCAGATTCCCCTCTTAACATATTCATACGCTTCGCGCGGTTATTAGTGCCAGTCCTTTGTTGGTTAACAAGAGTTCATGTCCGTCCGGTGTGCTTCTCAAGCTTGGCTATGCCCATCTTTAATCCCAATTCTCGTATTCTTTGCAGTAATGTGAACACTTTGTCTCTAAAATCCTCAGAACTTCCTATCTCTCTTAGGTCAATTACAATGTCTTCATGATCCATGGGCCAGCCATCTTCAATTAAGGCAGCACCTGCCAGTCTATCAGCCCTTTTATTACCAACAACGCCTGCATGCCCTGGGACGAATACGAAGGTACTGCACACATAAGAGAGTTTTGCAATGACTCAAACCACTGTCTGCGTGTAACCAGCCTGCCTCGACCTACCGGATCATGCTCAAAGAATCACTCAGCACACACACGCTGGAATAGTCGTGTGATTCTAGCCACATGAAAGCTTGTGTCACCATCTGGAATGAGACAGGGTGCATTCTATCCCCGCTACTATTCATTACATACATCGACCATATTTGCAGATTAGCTAACACCAGCGAAGTTGACAACATTGGAGAATCACCAAATGAATTGCTTTTCACCGATGACCAGGCAATCATAGCACCAACAGTAGTACAACTACAAAAACATTAATAGACTCCACTCAGAATGCGACGACTATGATATGAAGGTAAACATAGACAAAACAGAAGTGGTGGCATTCTCCATTAAAGGAAGAACCACCAATATCAAAATTAATTAACACCAGGCGAAGGATTTTACATATCTGGGAAGCACTTTTTCTGAAGATGGAAGAATTAATAAAGAAATCCAGCAAAAATGCAGTAGACAATCAAGTTTTAGGCAAAATGGCACACATTTTATATTACAAGCCTGTAAATATAAACACTAAAAGAACACTGTTTAACACAATTACCAACACTATGCTATCAATGTCAAACATAGACACTGTCTTCGGAAGACAGAAGGAAAATAGTTATAACAACAATGAAATGATTACGTACTACGCTAGGTGTCACGAGGAAAGATCGACTTAGGAACATGATATCAGGAGGAGAGTCCGCATAGAACCAAAACTGAAAATTATAGATAGACACCAAATCAAATGGTTTGGCCATGTAACAAGATTGGCATCAGACAGGGCCCCACAGAAAGCAATGTTATACAGATAGAACGGTAACAGAACCAGATATAGACCGCAGAAATATTAGAAACGCTGAAACATACTTTATATGAAGCGAACAGAGGTGCCTGTTTTAGAGATCTCTTCATGCCTTGACGCCACGAGGCATTCCAGATGAAGAGGAAAGAAGAAGTATGTTGTACAGTTCCTATGATGTTTACTTTTCCACATTTTTCTTGGTCTATTTTCCTCTCCTCTTGTATGAAAGCTTTGCAAAGTATGGCCTCACAAGGCATTCTCTTTAAGTGAGCAAACCATTTCTGATGTAATTTCCTTATCCCTGATTTTATCTTTCTTGGTCACTTGCACATCAATTCTCATTTCTGTGGTTACTGAGTTTTGTTGCTGAATTGTAATTGACCATAAATAGCACTGGTAGTAAAGTATGGAGATGAATGTACTTTGTTAGAGGTATTTCTTTGTGTTGATTGGAACTGTCTTATATTGTAAAAGTGGGTAAGCCATCTCAGTAAATGTTTTGCTTAAGTGGATCAAATGTTAATTTCTATATTCAATTAGCTGTCATTGAATGTTGTTCCCATGAATATAAGCTCTGGTATCTGTTTAAAACGTCAAAAACTCCTTCAAAGAGGTCACATTGTAATTAGTTGTCTTTTGTAATGAGAGCTATGTGGTTTTATAAAAGTATTAAACTAATAAATATGTAAGAGACAAAATAAAAAGAATTTGCGGGACATCAGGAACCTCTCTAAGCAGTGGTGAAACGTCGCAAGCTAGCTTGGTTTGGGCACGTTGAGAGACATGATTCGATTGTATAGACTGTTCAAGGAACTTTGGGGGAGGGGGGTTGTCGAAGAAGAGGAGAAAAAGAGGAACCTGGAATAACAACATCAAGAAATTGACAGATCGAAGTTATCATACACTTATTCGTCAAGCAGAAGACAGAGAAAGATGGCGGATTTTATGTAGAGTCGGCCGGCGTGATGCTGACCACATCACTCATCTTGTGCTGATTGGTCTATAAAATATGTCTAGCCCTATATGCCCTTATACGCCTAAAAGCGTGGAAGAGGATCCTTTACTTTACTTATTCCAGTCACATAATTTTACTTCATTAATATATCTTTGTTGGGCAATAAAAGTTCGTTAAGTATCCTTCACAGGACGTTGCAAAACCAACAGGGGCACGACGGACGATCATGATTCAGTGTTCAGCTTATAACACAGTCACCGACGCATCTTATCACCATCAAAGCCCCTTGTTATAGCCTAGAATGACATAATTTAGTTCCCAAAATAACATGTCACACCATCAGTCTATTATCATATTATGTTAACGACGCAGTTGACTTCTAAATATACAAACAAGAAATCAAATAATGGGAATATCCGATAAACATGTTACTATATTAGCATCTGCACATTACTAGTTTGGCCTGAATTTCCTGGGCACACACGAAATCCTCAATATTTTTCTTCAGTCATTATCAAGCAATACAAGCCACTCCGAGTGCAAGATAGCAATTTCTGTTTTCTCATACACGCTTTGCGAGTTAGTTATTATTTCAACATGCCGTCTTTACTACTCTCCAGCCATTGGAAATCTGCTGTTGCTGCTGTCACCTCCATTTTCATGCACACTTCATACACAATGTATTTTTTTTTAAACCACCTCTAATCTCCTTTTTAGTGAAATAGCATTAGATTATTGGGCATGTATTTAATGTGGCATGTGTAATGAAAACCGGGGGTGACTACAGTCAAGCTGCTGACTTCTTCTTCTTCAGCGTTCTGAGTCCTTGAGGTTCATTGCTGCAGATATCACCCGCTTCCACTCATCTCTATAAGATGATTCAGAGCCATATCGAACTGGTCTTCAACAGTTGGTAACTTCCAGTCATTTGCAATTATCATATATTCGTTGGGCTTTCTATTCACACTTTTTATTATATTCAATTCGTTTTGTGTAATGAAGATGTCTGCAAGAAACCCTAAGATGAACGTTGATGAAAGATGACGAAGATGCTGGACTGAATTCCATCCATGATATAGAATTAATAGCGCATAATAGACGGGAATTAAAGAATAAACTTCTTGCCCTTTGTGACGACCGGGTGACACTGAAATGGCTCATATGTTCTTAACACGATTTGCCCTGTTTTGTTTTGATCAGATCCATATCGCAGTACTCCATTTTCGACGAGTATATTTCTGTTACTTGAATAGATTTAAAAACAAGCTAGGCAATCTCACTTCCGTCATCACAGCCGACCGGTCGCCGCACAGTTCCTATGCCGGCGAAAACCACACAGAATGCCCATCTCTGTCCCTTGTGGGGGAAACAGTCGACACCGCCAGGAGTCTTAGCAAAGCTTATAGCATTCACACGCATCAAACACATAAAGCAGCCGATAGAAGTGCCAATACACACAGTCCATCATTAGAAATTAGTTCATAGTCGATGGAAGCAGCAGTTACTTCAGACAGGCAGTTCCGCACGCTAATAATCGTATAAGGTTAGAAACTATAACAAACTGACTGAGTGGTGTACAGAAATAAGTGCTTTCGTGCACCCGGAAAAGGCGTCTGTTCTGTGGTGTTCTCTGGACAACAGAAACTAATGTCCCAAGTCTCACGATAGATGGTAGAGACGTCAACAGAGAGAGCAAACTGAAGTATCTAGCAATTACATTTG